AGCTTCAAAGCTGCCGTCGTACTGTATACCCTCCGATCTTCCTGATGTTATGATTATAGACTTGCCCTGAGACAGCTTCCTGTCTGTGATTGATTTTCACTGTTTACCGTTATTATTTGCCATGGCGACCCCCGTAAGTCCGTAACTGGCAGGGCAGGGTTGGGCCTTTTTCCAAAAAAAATCCTCCCGATGTTAGTACAAGTACTTTCTTTGTTTGTTTATTTTCTCTATTTTATTCTCTTTACCAGGCGTGGGCCATCCCCTGGACTAACAAAACGGGTGCCTTATTATTATTTTTCTGTTTCTGTTTTAATGACAGTCCATTGCACGCCTGAAAAAAAAGTACTTAGTGTATTAGGCGGGTTACAGAACTATCGACGTATCGTTCGCTGGCTTACTTGTAATTTGATAACGCTTCGCTCTTCATTGAGATATCTACCATTCTCTCTTTTTTCTCCTTATTTTCTCCCCAACCCTCCTTCCCTGTAACATAATAACATATTCGCTGCCTTGTCATTGAGCATTTGTGCTCGTTTGGATTTGCGAATTCAAATAAAGTATACAAACAAACAAACATACATGTACTCTGACGTACTGCACTGGTCAGACCATCATCTCATCTGAGTTGGTGGGACAAGACCCCCAGAGGGTGTGCAGCACACCAGTTGAATAGGCTACACCGTACAGTTACTGATCAGTATAAAGACCAATAACGTAAAGTCGTGGATAAAAGCCGTAGGGCTTATAAGCATTTAAGCCGCTTTCTGCATCAGGCTTTTTAATGCAAACCATGTTTATGCACCACTGATACTTTTTGCCAGGCTTGTATGCACACTTCTACTCGCGACACGCGTAGATCTACCACTGACTACCGGTATGGCGGCAGTTTTACTATGCACCGTACATAGCGCATGCGCTCTTGACCTACCCGAGCCGCGCTTGCATGGAAGCCAGGCTTCTACGCGCGACAGGCTTATATGCATTTGACCCATTTGATTTTCAGGCTTCTATCCGCGATGTGCTTGTATGCAAACCCGGCTTTTATCCACGACTAACGGTATATTAACCTTAGCAGTACATGCATTGCCGGCGGCTAGTGAAATCCAGGAATGCATGGTTTTTGCCTAGTCTGGTACTGGTGTCTTGGCTGGCTGATTGTCCCTACGTGTTAGTTATCCCAAGCCCGTTGGCACAAAGTATATGTGCATTTTCTTGGTAGTTCCACTCAAGCGTACCTCAGACCCAAAGCACAGAGAGAAATCAGGGTGGCAGAGCCCTCAGGTCCAATACGATAAATGTAGAGAAACAAAGGAAAAGTACTACAAAGGCCAAACCCGGGCCGGCTCAAGCGGACAAGTCCTATCAACAAAAGTCTATTCAAGGAAACTAAAGAGAATCTCCTCGATATCTGGCTAGCTCCACCATGCTCTGATTAGGATTGTTTCGCAGCACAAAAAAACAAACAAGATGTGTTGTGCCAATAGATAAGACATCCGTTGTCCATTCTTGTCCGCTTGAGCCGGCCCGGGTTTGGCCTTTCTACCGTGGCTTTAACTTTCCTACTTTTCCTTTGTCTCTCTACGTTTACCATATCGAACCTGAGGGCTCCGCCGTGACCCTGATTTCTCTCTGTGCAGTGGGTCTGAGGTGGGCCTGAGTGGAATGACCAAGAGGTGCACAATATACTTTGTGCCAACGGGCTTGGGATAACTCAACACGTAGGGACGATCAGCCCGGGCCAGCCACGACACTAGCACGTACACAGTGCTGTATGTGCCAGGCCTCCTGCACATCCGTGGACTCTCTAACCTGGACACCCGTCGTAGTACCTTTAAAAATTACTTGCACTGAGTCACATGTGCATCAAAGCTATATCCGATTTGACCCTCCTAGCCTGCTGGATACTCTGAGGTGTCCGTGACTTTGAGGTTCGGAAAAGAGAGATATGCACGAACTCATCATGTCCCAATTTTCAACATCATCGCAAATTGGGACATCAGTTCATGTGTGCGAGTCACCCGGCTACTATCTGCAGTGCAACATTGCATGTACATGTACAAGTACCTGTGTGTGCAAGTCTGCATGGTGGGATCGGCGTGTTGCCTGTGACCAGACCGGCGCATAACCAACCCCAGCCGTGTGCTGCAGTTATCATCGTGACCCGCGCCGGCAGGTGGCCGTGAGGCGCATCTGCAGGTGAATCACAACATGAACAAGTACAATTGCAACGGAGGTTCACAAAACCCGTCACAAGGTTTCTGAAGTTGGTATACATTGTAAAGTCAACTGAGTCCGAAGTAAGCAATCATCTTACAGTGAGTGCAAAGAAAATAAATCAACCTAGACTGCTGGCATTCGTTTGACACATATCTAGATGCCGGTTTATGCCGAGACAATATCGGGGCATAAACTGAGTGCAAGCATGTTCAACATTGAGGGCGTAATGTATTGCTGGAAACTTGTGGGAAGCTTCCTTCACAAGTCTGGCTGTGGCATGCATGCCGAGTGATTGAACCTGCTTTGCTGGATGACATAACATGGAAGGAATGCTTTTTCCAAACTTCTTTTAGCGTGTTACGGTTCGGCTCTCACCTCACTAACGTAATCGCCGGATCACCTCATCACCTCAGTGTATTTCGTCTCTCTGAATAATGTGCACACTGCAAACACTTTAAGACCGCCCGGTGACTTGGACCGTTTCTGCTGGAGGTGCGATGCTGATAATGGAGTGGGATAGAAAGAGGTCCGAGTCTCCCCAGTGTTGTATATGTATGCTGTGAGCACAGGCACCGTTACTTCATTCTCATGCAGCGCAGTTGTCTGCATTGTATACAGTGTTGATCCCAAGTCATACCGAAGGTTCGGTGCCAATTCACCGTATCACCAAGGTGATAACGGGAAATTCGCGTGCATTTTTCATCTTTTATTTCGACAAGCAGCAATGGGAAACAGAATGATACGGTAAAATGACCATGTGAGCCGGTGCGCAAGCTGCAGCAAAGGGGAGTCACTATGCCCTAAACAAAACAAACAACTTTGCCGTTGGATGATAAGCCCATTGCACATTGCCAAATATGGAATGCATGAGTAATGCATGTGAGTTGGTATGCTGGGATCAGGAATGCACTGTTCAACACCTCCACACGACCATGCCCAGGTGGCTGTGTCGGGTGTTGATGGTACAAATTACATGTACGTCATTGCGCAATATCGGGGCGTATTCTCCCGGAGCTGCACGCTGTCACTCTGGTCTATCTTGCCGTCTTTGTATCGCACTATTCCCTGCTCCCTTGATCCCTGATTCGAACCAGGATGTACATACAGGCATAGGGCTTTTCATTTGCTTTCAGTTCTTTTCATTTGCTTTGAGTTTTTTCCATTTGCTTTGAGTTCTTTACATTTTAAAATTGTGTTGGGTTTTAGTTGCATTTCTATTATTGATCGAGATGGTATTATTGCCCGTAAAAAACAGGGCCGTAGCACTGCGTTTTCAGGTGGTCCGGCCAAACGCGGTATACCGGGCCTTCTTGCTTCTCTTCAAATAAAACACCTTGAATATCGATACATTTATCAATTTCTTACGTTTACATTTATTTGTCATATTGTTCAGCCTGCATCATGCTTACGCAGTCTGTTCCCTTTGCCCACCTCTAACTAAACGGTCAACTCGTGGAACTACAAACAATTTGTCAATTTGCTTGTATAAATCCATGGTAGGGTACAATTCCTTTTCCTCCAGAGCATCCCTTATGTGGAATGCCCTCCCTGCTCACTTGAAAGGAAGTGAGGACATTAGATCATTTTCTACAGAACTTTTGCGCGCTAGTAAATGACAAATTGACTGATATCCCTATATCCCCTCCTTTTTGAAAATGTATTTCACCAATAAAATAAGGAATGAATGAATATCGACGGACTTGCCCCTTCTGTTCATGCATTGCCCTGCTCTACAGTAATGTTCATGAATCCGCCCAGTCCACATTCCTTCTCCGTTTTTCTTTCCCTTCAGTTGCATCTTCCTCTCTGCTCTGTTTTATTTTCTCTTTTCGTTCGTCCCCGGCTCTTGATATTTGTACTTTGTACTGTTGAGGCAACGAACTGAAATAATAAAAACCAAACCAACCAAACCGGTACTTGGCCAGAAATGGACACAGACTAGACACAGACAAAACAACTTTTTTAACGGGTGGGCCAATTTTTTTCGAAATAAGGTCCGGCCATGGCCGGACAGGATGCTATGGCCCTCAGTCATTATTACATGTACATTGTACGTAAGAGGCCGTCCATGATTACCGATGTTTTACACGAAGACTGAGAAAAAGTTCATTTATGGGTGGGTGGGTCAAGGGGAGTTTCGTTTTGAAAAATATTGATGTGAGAGACATCAAGGCATTCTTGCTGTCAAGTCAATCACGGTATTTCGTTCAGGGGTGGGTGGTTGGGGGAGAGTCCTAACTAAACTTTTTTGTTTCGTGAAATAGTAATGCGAGGCCTAATGTCACACAGCATGTCACACTACTGTACTCCCTGGTTCGAAGTGGGAGTCACCCCAGTTTGCCCCCCCCCCCCCCCCCCCTCTGGGCAAGGCCAGGCATGGGTCGAATCAGGGAGTAGTAAATGCCGGTATTTTACTCCTCCCTGCAGGGAATCTTCAAGTATTTTGACGACTCCCTATAAATAATAATGTAGATCCGGATCCCTGCAGCTGCAGCTCCCTGGCCCTGTATCCATGGTATCGGTGACTCCCCTGCTGATCTGGAACGAGGTGTAAATCTACGACTCGGTATGCAGTTCGAACCAGGCCGGGAGGCTACGACTACGACTCAGTACGAGATAGTACAGTAGTATAGTCATGTAACTGTTGTTTGTACATTCAGGTATTTCGGTTGCACTTCGTTGGTTGCATGCATGGTCGGGGGGTGATCAGCGTCGTACTAAAACCCATGCTTCGATGAGCATTGAGCAGAGCTGAGTGTCAAGCTTCAGCTCAAGGATACTGAGTCTGTACTGTGTAGATGTGTGGTTGGTCGTATTTTGTCAGAGAGCAAATGCACACGAAGAAAAAGTGACGGGATTCAAAGCTCACCTTTCTGAGTAACATCGTCTTACTGTAGTATGTAGGGTTGCTGAGCACCATGCCAGGCTTTATTCCGCCTCCGGAGGCTCCTGTTTTTGAGCCCAGCCGAGAGGAGTTCAAAGATCCATTGGCATACATTGCAAAGATTCGTCCAATTGCTGAGAAATCGGGAATATGCAAGATTCGTCCACCGTCAGTAAGTGCTGCTTCCATTTTCATCATTCTGGTGTATTCACGTATAATTGCAATTGCCCATGAAATTGTTTCATAATATTTGACTTTGATTTAGGAATGGAGACCGCCGTTCTCAGTGGACGTTCCTCAGTTTCGATTCACTCCACGAGTCCAGCGTCTGAACGAATTGGAGGTATGCACACACTACTCCGCTGCTTGAGGCACTATACCCTACTATAATTATCTGCTGCATACCACACTACTTCTTGAGACTATGCACAATATCAAAACAAAAAAAGCCAAGATGCATTCCTTTCTGCGAGAGTTGTCTTTGTGCCATGTGTGAGTCAACTGCAACAGCTGCATACACTGTGCTGCTCAATGTATGCTACCAGATGCCAACATGGCGGTTATGGCTATAAAGTGAAAACTTTTTCATGGATGTTTTGGCCACCCAATCACTCCATGGCTATGTGAATTGCCTTTTCCTTGCCATCTGCAGGCCACCACAAGAGTGAAGCTAAATTTCCTGGATGCTGTTGCCAAATATTGGGAGTTACAGGTCAGTGAGTTGAAGTAGTTGGTAATGTCACTTTGGTCATCAGCTGAAGACTTTAGTCTAGTCCTCTCTAACTTATACAGTGGTGAGGGACTCACACTGGTCAATGATTCAATGTTCCTTGTGCATGTGTTTCTGCTTCGGACCTCGTCCAGGGCACTACAATGCGTCTGCCAACAGTGGAAGGATCTCCCCTGGACTTGCTCAAGCTGTGGAAGGTCAGTCACTGACAACCTGTTGTGCTCATGTGCTGTGCACTCAATCATATCACGGAGTGATGGCATTGCAGCAGCATTGATACAGGGGTATCTTGTTGGTACATCCTTTTCTCTTAGTCTTACAGCCTTTTTCCCATGTTGTACTGATTGCCCAATGTAGCTGGCTGGTGCTCTACAGTATACAGTACACAGTATACATGTAGGTGCAGGTACAGGATTGTGCAAGTAACTAACTAAAATAATTATTGATAATTACTTAGTACTGTACTAGATCATGCTCTTTGATTCCTTGTGCAATCCTTCTGTGGAGGAGTGCTGTACGTGTTGAGTTAGTGTATGGCATGGGGGCTACTACTGTCTTGACTGTGGGGTTGCAACATGCACCTGTTTTGCAGACATGCTGTGAGCTGTGTAGCACAATCATACATGTACACGGACGGTACTCTGATGGTTTTCATTAGCCCTGCAGTGCTGCACAACTGTTATACATACATGTAGTGCTAGTGGCCATGTCTGCATGGAGCTGCTACTATGGAGACTGTCCCATATTACTTGGCTGGGCATGTTTTTGGCAGAGTTGTTTGTTGGAGTGTGGCCTGTGATGCTAGGCAATACTTGGTCATTACTCAGTGTCTGACTCTTTATTATTGTATAGTAAAGCATAGCACAGGGTTCTAGCCAGGTCAACATAGTGTGGGGCGGGCAAGGGAAACAGTTACCCCGTAACCCATTTTTTCCATTTTCCAAAATTGTCTTGCCATGTAAAATGCAACGTACGGGGCGAACCCCGGAGTTCACCACTGATACGTGTGCCATATGAACCCTCTAATACTCACTACTGGCTGTATTTTCGTTGAATGGCATAAAAACACAAAAATATAAAAAAAATGAGTAGGGAGGGGGGGGGCACTTTCTCACAGGAGGACACTCAATCAGAGTGGGGGGGGGGGGTGCTGCCCCCCCCCCCCCCTCCTTGGCTAGAACCCCAATACTAGCATGTAGCCCTGGTGCTATTGACTTGCCAATGATTTTGAGGATGGGGACATGATTGAAATGTGCTTTGCTGTGCGGTGTGTACGTACGTGCGTGTGTGTGTGTGTGTGCGCGTGAACGGGCATGTGTGTGTGTACATGTGTACGTGTGTATACATGTATGCAGTTGGTAGAAACCGAAGGTGGATTCAATCAAGTCTGCAAGGAAAAGCGCTGGGCCCAGCTTTCGCAAAAGGTTAGGCCGACATACCGGTAGATGATCTTACACGCCTGACTTGCAACATTGGAAACTTCTTGTGTTTGTCACTGACAGCCTAACAATATCACTGTGATGTTAGCAGTTAGCGCATTGTGTTCCGAAATAAACTACCACAATTTTCATCTGAATGTGTACAGTTTTTGTCGCACTGCCTTTATGTTGTTGTGTGAATCAGATGGGCTTTTGCAAGTATGGTCAAGGATCGGTTCTTCGTAATCATTATGAGAAGATCTTGTTTCCTTACCATGTGTTCAAGAATGTACAGGTGAGGAAGACTTATTATTATACCAAGTAGTACTAGCTAGCATCATTGAAGTGGCACGTATTGCCTGTCGATAACTTACCCCTTTCTTTCACTGCTCCTTCACTTGCTGGAACTGCAATGTATTGCCTTGTGTATTCGTTTTGTATGTTGTTGAGGCTGGGAATCTGACAAACTGTGTACGAACTATGCTCATTTTTTAGTACTGTGAGGTGATCGATTTGAAACCTGTAGGAACAGTTTATTCTTTCACCCCAGATTTTCCTAGTGTTCGCCTTCCCTTTCAGACCCCTTCCTGCGCACAGAAAATGTTCCAAAATTCGGAATACAGAACGTTGAACTGTTAGCCTGTGTGTGTGTGTGTCTCTGTCTCTCTCGCTGTCTCTCTCGCTGTCTCTCTCGCTGTCTCTCTCTCCGTCTCTCTCGCTGTCTCTCTCTCTGTCTCTCTCTCTCTGTCTCTCTCTGTGTCTCTCTCTGTGTCTCTCTCTCTATCTCTCTCTCTGTCTCTCTCTCTGTCTCTGTCTCTCTCTCTCTCTCTCTCTCTCTCTCTCTCTCTCTCTCTCTCTCTCTCTCTCTCTCTCTCTCTCTCTCTCTCTCTCTCTCTCTCTCTCTCTCTCTCTCTCTCTCTCTCTCTCTCTCTCTCTCTCTCTCTCTCTCTCTCTCTCTCTCTCTCTCTCTCTCTCTCTCTCTCTCTCTCTCTCTCTCTCTCTCTCTCTCTCTCTCTCCCTCTCTCTGTCTGTCTGTCTGTCTGTTTCTCCCTCCCTCTCTCTGTCTCTCTCTGTCTCTCGTTCTTTCTTTGTAATGTGAGCTCCAGCGTAGTCTTGTGGAGAGTACTGGTGTACCATATGACTGAGAATTTGAATTAGCAAACTTGATATTTTTGTGACTGTATATATGTGGTGCTACATTTTACTTCGAAGTAATGATAACACCTGTGAAATTCCTTGAAAGGATCCTGGAATTCCCTTGAAGTTGATGTGAAGATTTAGCTACTAACCCTGGGGTGCAGAACAAGTAACGATGTGATTGCTTTGAAAATACTACAGACTAGTAATGAACATAGTTATTTCGTACGTAAATGCGGTGGGAGGTACTCATCAAGGAAGCATGCAGGAAAGAACAAAATTGCCGACCAGTGAAATCTGACCACTCGCTTGAGAACTGTGCCGCGAGCCGCATGGTGAGCCAGGTTGTGTGGATGCAGGCTGTCAATGGCTGCTCAGGATGCTCAACGTACACCCCCTCTCCGTGTGTGGATTCCACTGGGTAGCACTGTGGAACTGCACAAGAGCTGTCGAGAAATGGGCCAATTGCAGTGTTGTGCTGTGTGTGTGTGTATGCTTTCTCCGTGTGCTACCTATGTAGCTTGGCGAATCCAAGAGTGGCACACCAGATAATGGTGCTGCCGAATCGGAACCTCTCCCAAACGATCGTGCCACTGACAAATTGCAGCTGAATTTTGCCAGTGATGCCAGCGTGGGTTCGCCGTATCCTGCCGATAGTGACGAGGACAGCGAGGATAACAAAGACGACGCATGGTCCCCTTCAGCAGAGGAGAAAAAGGAATTTGGTGGCACGGTGCCTTTGACTCCTGCCGCTGATCGGCCGTCCTGTACGGTGGGTGAAGCGACACCGGGTGCGTTCACACATGGCTCATCGTCTATCACCACCCGCCGTAGTCGCCGTATGGCCGGTGGTGTAGACCCATTACTGTCAGCCAGAGTTGCCGCTACTACTGCTACGACTACGGCTGTGAGTTCTTCTATATGCCTGTGTTGTTTGCATTGGTGCTGTGTACATGTACGTTGCATTACCGTGTGTGCTTCATGTAACCATGTTTCAGCCACCGTTTTGGCTAGGGATGATGTAATCTGCACAAAGCTGAAGCAAGCTAACCAACGATTTCTCAATCACAATGCACATATTTACACCCAGCTAGGCTGTCACGAGCTGAGTGTAGTGCAACTTTTGCCTTTGCTGGAAGTATAGCCACCCCATGTCCTTAGATTTAGGTTTACTCAACCAGCGAACAGTGCTGCAGATTTGGGTTTTTTGAATTTAGACTTTCGTCTAGTCTCTGTAAGATACGTGGACTGCATGGACATAGACGTATGCACTTTTGTCGTGTGGTATCTGTTCAGGCACCGGGAGTCCGCGACAAAAAGAACCGTGAGCTTCAACGCTTGCAGTTCATTGCTCCTGGGCCGAAGATCTTGCAGGAGTCGAAGCTAAACTCTGATGACACTGGTATGTCTTACGTCCGTTACACTACACACTGTTACAGTTGTGTACCACTAGCTCACTAGGGTTCTGGCTTGTGGGAGCTTTCCGTGTTTTCGTCTGTGGTGCTCTTGATCTTCTAGCAAGTGTGGTTTGTGTTTGCATGTACTGAACTGGTAGCAGGTACTTGTAGGGCAAGTGCACTAGGTGAGCAGAATGGGAATCCCATACCTGTCCAGCAGCGGTAAGAGAGCTGCTTGCATTGGTAGTTTGCTAGCGAATACTGACCCTGTTCACAGATGTTGTGCGTGCCTACGTAGGCAAGGATGATGCTGAATTTTGATTGTTATTGCTGTTCAGATGAGGTCAGCACTGCCAAGATCAAGGAAGAACAACCAGACCAGGCAGAGGATAAGCCAGTCGTGACCGTTACCAAACCGGACGGCACTCTGGATGTAGGTTGACTTGCCCTGTTCTTCCCTGTGCTCTTCCTGAAGTTGACGATTATCCCGTCATGTTTAGTATCAATGCACTGTGTACTGTAGTTCACACATTCTATTTACATGTGTTTCAGTGCAACGTTGATGTGAAATGGCGTGCTCGATCTTTGCAGGCGCGTGTTTAGTGTGCAAGTTCTCTCTCTCTCTCTCTCTCTCTCTCTCTCTCTCTCTCTCTCTCTCTCTCTCTCTCTCTCTCTCTCTCTCTCTCTCTCTCTCTCTCTCTCTCTCTATCTATCTATCCCTCTCCCTCTCTCTATCTATCTATCTGTCTATCTATCTCACTCACTCTCTCACTCACTCACTCACTCACTCACTCGCCTTTTCTGTCTGCTGTATTGTGTGATTACTGCTGCCCAGGTGGATAGCATAGTGTGTTACTCATGCCGGCACGGAGATGGAGAAGACTGCATGCTACTGTGTGATGTGTGTAACGCCAGCTATCACACATACTGCCTAGTTCCACCACTGCGTGGTGTACCGCCGGGTGACTGGAGGTGTCCGCCATGCGTTGCAAAGGTGCGCTATTTTGGCTCGTATTGTAGGCAGTTGTATTGGTATGCTCTGTTCGTACTGACACCTGCTTATTGGCTATAGCAGTCTTTACCAGTGCATGTGTTATAGCAATGACCAAGAGTGTATGCCCCCAAAAGTGGGCAGCTGCCTGTACTCTCTCTCTCTCTCTCTCTCTCTCTCTCTCTCTCTCTCTCTCTCTCTCTCTCTCTCTCTCTCTCTCTCTCTCTCTCTCTCTCTCTCTCTCTCTCTCTCTCTCTCTCTCTCTCTCTCTCTCTCTCTCTCTTCGCTCTCTCTCTCTCTCTCTCTCTCTCTCTCTCTCTCTCTCTCTCTCTCTCTCTCTCTCTCTCTCTCTCTCTCTGTCTCTCTCTCTCTATCTCTCTCTCTCTCTCTCGCTCTCGCTCTCTCTTTCTAGTACTGTGATGGCACAGTTTCACTTTACATGGCTAAATTCAACAGTTTGTCCTGGCAAACAGTGCTGTGTCGTAGCCACAATGCCAAAGCAGAGTTACGTGCAACCATATAGCTATCGTGTACAGGGTGCAGATAGTGTGTGTGTGTGGGGGGGGGGGGGGGTTGTCTCGCTGTGTGCAGTTCTGCCGCCGCATATCCCGTAGTCTGGAGTTGCACTCTTGCTGTGATCAAGAGATTATACATGTACATGTACACAAGAGGTACACAAGGGGAAGGCACGGCCATTGAGCACTCTAGCAAGTTAAGGCGCATTGCCTCTGTACATGTACATGTGCTGCAGTGCATGTATCGTAGTCATCTACTAGTGTTCCCTTGTGACGTGTGTTTGCTTGTGGCGTATTTACAGGAGTGCAATAAACCGCAGGAAGCATTCGGGTTCGAGCAGGCTGACAAGGTTTACACGCTACACACATTTCAGACGTTCGCGAATCGCTTCAAGGGCGACTACTTCCAGACAGCTCCGCATGTGAGTCACACACACCACACACACCACACACATCACACACACATACCACACATACCACACACACACACACACACACACACACACGCGCGCACGCGCACACACACGCACATTGCAGCCACTGGTAAATTTTGGTGGCAGCGGACTTACCATCCACGTCGACCTTGACCTGTGAGACTTCTTGTTTAGAGTTGGACATCCAAGGTCTCACAATAATACCAAGAGTACACAACCCCCAAGAGTGTAAAACTGCCTGCACAGCCTCTATACAGTGCTGCGACAGCAGAACTTCACATCACCAAAAGTACATAACCTCCCAGAGTGTGCAACGCCTGATCCAGCTCTGCATACGGTCTTGATCGAGCGTAGTCAGATCTTCTGATGTCATGCGTACGCTTCACACCAGTGCAAGGCCAGTCTTAAGGCAGGGCGCCGTTGTTTTTGATCATGCAGTCCACGCAACTCCCCTGGCCCCCCTCAGATCTGTACGGTACTGTGACGCAAAGATCCGATTACGCTTGACCAAGACCCTATGCAGAGCTAGATCAGGCGTTGCACGCTCTGGGAGATTATTTACTCTTGACATAACGTGACAACGTTCAAAGGGTTACGCTGGCAAACAGTGCAAAGTTAGCACAAGAGAGTTGAACCATGCATCTATCATGCACAGGGTGCAAATAATGTGTCCGGCACGTGATGTTAAGTTCTGCTGTCGCAGACCCCATACCTGGAGTTGCACACTCTTGGGGGTTATGTGCTCTTGGTAGAAGTAATGAGTATTCTCTTGTGTAGACCCTGTGCGTATAGACCCTGTGCACTCAGGCAGTTGTTTTTTGTTTTGCTTCTTGCTTTTTTAATTTTAAATATGGACAGCTTCTCTCCTTTGTCTCCGGTGTCATTCATTTGCTGTGGCTAATGTCTCTCTCTCTCTCTCTCTCTCTCTCTCTCTCTCTCTCTCTCTCTCTCTCTCTCTCTCTCTCTCACGAATGACGGTGGTTCTTGGTACTGTTCTGTTTGTTTGTGTTTCTTGTTCAGCTTGTACCAACAAGTGATGTTGAGCAGGAGTTCTGGCGGCTGGTGCACTCTATTGAAGATGATGTAAGAGAAGTTAGCATAGTAGTTGTCATGCTCACTGTTTTCTGTTTTTGTACTTCTATTGGTATTTGATGGACTCTCCACAGTCCTTTTCCTAAATTGAGGGAGTTTCCGTTCTTACGTTCATAACCGTATGTTTCATGCACTGCTCTGGTTTGACAGTGCTGAGTGCAGCCACCATGCCCGTGTACTTCACTCATATCCCAGGAGCGGCACAGGGCGCGTCTGTCGTGATTAGAACGCTTTTTTAGTTTTGGTCTTCGGCCACTTTGTGGCGGGTCTGATCTGATCACGCCGTGCCGCTTTAGGAACCATGTATGCCTTCACCTTTGACGGTGGTGTCATTCCTAAGGACACAGGAAAGTCAGTCTAGCTGATTCTCACCCGGGGTGAGCTTATGCGGCACACCTTCAAATAAGGCTCTCTTATACTCTCTTCTGCTTGTGTGTGTGTGTGTGTGTGTGCGCGTGTGTGTGTATGTGTGTGTGTTTGCTTGCTGACTGGTCAGGTAACCGTTGAGTACGGTGCTGATCTGCACTCTTCGGACCACGGTAGTGGCTTCCCGATGGGACAGTCTGAGGAGAACGATCATCAGGTGGGTAGCATGTGCCCCCCCCCCCCCCCATTAGTCGGTGTGTTGCGTGTTAACTATCAGTGAGCGTCTCAATGGCTGTACATGTATTGATGTTATTCTGTGTCTTGTCTTGTTTGTGTTTACCGAAACATGGCATGCACTGCAGTATTATACACAAAATGGATGGAACTTGAATAACCTGCCAAACTTGGAGGCTTCTGTCCTGCGCCACATAACTGCTGATATATCCGGAATGAAGGTAGGTTAAAAAGGCTTAGCCGTATTATTGCGTGCTATTTTGGTCGTGGGCTTGTACTGCTTTCAATAGTGTGTGTGTGTGTGTGCGTGTGTGCGTGCGTGTGTGCGTGCGCGTACATGCTTGTGTGTGTGCACATGTTGTGTGGTGTACGTGCATGCTTGTGTGTGCGTGCATGTGTGTGCGTGTGCGTGTGTGCGCGTGTATGATTACTATGTGTGTGTGGGGTGAGGGGGAGCGGCTATCTATGTTTGCTCCACTTGCCCCTACTACTGTTAGCAGCTATTTGTCCGTGTCTCCTGTCCTAATGGAGTGCATGAATTTGTACAAGAATGGCTATACTGTGCGTTCACGGGTTGCAAGACTTAGTGGTGTGTGTTTTGTGTGCTCATGTGATGTGTGTGTGTGATGTGATGTGTGTGTGTTGGTGCAATGTGGCATTGTCAGGTGCCATGGCTGTACGTGGGCATGTGCTTCTCCAGCTTCTGCTGGCACAATGAAGACCACTGGAGTTACTCCATCAACTACTTGCATTGGTAGGAATGTCCGCCTGCCTACATGCATGTAACTTCTTCATCATTTGTGAAAACTAGACCTGGTCTAGTGAGAAGGCATTCTACTGCCTGTAATTCTGGTGAAGTAAAATAAAATAACAACAACAACAACAACAACCATTTGATTGATGTAATGTGTACTATCATGAACTCCCCGTGTATCAGTATAATGAGTTGTTACTGAAGTATGAGCTTATGATGGCATGCAATCTAGCTGGAACCAGTACTGCGTATACACGTGTCTACCCTCTCTCTCGTAGCCGTATGCAGATATATCTTTGTTGTAATGCATGTGTGTCCCCGTAGGGGTGAGCCGAAGACCTGGTATGGTGTGCCAGGCGCATCAGCCAGCAGTTTTGAGAAAGCCATGCGGAATGCTGTCCCCGAGCTGTTCCAGGACACGCCGGATCTATTGCATCATCTCGTCACGCTAATCTCACCGAATGCGCTTATGGATCAGAATGTTCCCGTGAGTAGTTCTCGTTTGCATGGACATAGACACTTGTGTGGGCGCGGGCATATGTACGAGTGTGGGTGTGAATGCATTCATTCTTGTGCACGTTATGTACTTGCTTTTAACTCGACATGTTTGTGTGCATGCTTGTCTGCCTGCATAAACACACTGTGCTGAGTAGATGTCAGTGCTGAGTATTGCCACTGTGTATATTGAGCATGTTGGATCATGTGTTGTGGCTGGTATTCTCATCCTTAGTCAACCGTTTTAATCGCCCGTTTGGCGCTTGCGATTGTGTGTGTGCGTGTGCGTGTATCCGTTTCAGGTTGTGCGGACGAACCAGCATGCTGGAGAGTTTGTGGTAACCTTTCCGCGTGCTTATCACGCCGGTTTCAATCAGGGTTATAACTTTGCGGAGGCAGTCAACTTCTGCCCGGCTGATTGGGTATGGACTACTTGTATGGTACATTCTAAACATGTTATTTGTTATTTGTACAAGTTCCAATTTATTTATGACTGCTTCCTGTGACGAAGCAGTTTATGCGGGGGGGGGGGGGACAGTATTTTAAAATATGCCATGTTGCAAGTATGTTGTTTGTTGTTGTTGATTTTTATTTTGCTTCGCAAGGCCAAACGGGCAATGGTGCCCAATTCTATGGAAGCGAATTTCAAAAGGGAGAGAGAGAGAGAGAGAGAGAGAGAGGAGGGGGGGGGGGGGAGGGAGGGAGATGATAAGCAATTTTGCAGCGTCAACAGAGCGTATAGCAGGGAGTCTTCAAATGTTGGTAGGGGGACTGCTGTGGATTGTGAGTTGCCGTGCTCACCTCGCACAACATTGCAGCACCCTGTGAATGTTTGTTGTATTGCCAAGCGTTCGTAGAGCGTAGACTGGTTTCACATCAGTTTGTCATGTGACTAAAGTTGTGTAGCACGTGATCCTGGCATGTAGACAGTGGAACCAACATGCATAACTGTCATCGCGTGGCCCATAGATGCAAGGCTTGACTGGAATTGGAACCAACATGGCTGTCTCGTATAGTCATGTGATAGATGTGAGACCATTCTATTCAACAACAGTACTCTCAACGACAACCCCGTTGGATTTTGCATGACATGTTGCAACCTGTTTCTCGGTATAGTGTGATGTGCCACCATCATTATTGAGAGCTATCGCTCTTTCCTTTTCCAGTGTCCGAGAGTGTTAAAATTCGAACGTTGTCCTTGCAAGACTCCCAAGAGGAAGCACATTCAATCGAATGAATCTACTCTGATAATGTGTGGTGCCTCAAGCTCACCGAGAAAAGTGTTTTGTACGTGCAACAAAGAAAATAATTCTGCTGCTGCTGATGTATGTGTATTCTGCAGATTCCACACGGTCGCTCATGCATGGCGCACTACCAGCAACTTCAGCGCTACACGGTGTTTGCACACGACGAGCTGGTCTGTAAGATGGCGATGCTTGTGAACAGCCTGGATGTTCAGATGGCCGCGGAGCTCTACAACGACATGAAAGTCATGGTGGAGAACGAAAGCAAACTGCGCGAGAACATCTCGGAGAGGGTGAGTTCTTCAGTTTTGCCTACTGTAAAACCGGAAAATTTCGGTAGAGGTAATTTTTGCCTAGAATAGAACGCGACCTAAAATTCAACCATGCCATGTCACACATTGTGCGAAATGCATTTTTGGATCTGGGAAATTTTCGCGCTACCAAACCATTGATTTTGGAAAATACCAAAAATATAAACACCAGCAAAAATTCCCAGTTTTACAGCAGTGTATTTTTAACTATTTTATTTATCTTCATGTAAGTCCCTGGAAGGTCCCTGGAAGGTCCCTGGTTCGAGTCCTGGTGGCGACAGTCAATTTTTTCTTCAGACTTTTCCCGTTTGTCTCTCTCCCTCAAACCAGTTAATACTTCATGTAAGTGCACGTGGCTATCATGTTTGCATCCAGATTTGTCCACACAGTCATTAGAGAAGCGAGCAGGTGTCGGTGTGTTAGAGTCTATGACTTCACCTGTTTTTGAGTCCAGATTTCCAAGCAGAGATGAGGAGCTCTTCTTAGTGGCACATGCAAACGGAATACGTGTAGATCTAATGCATATCACTCAGATTTGACAGCAGGCCATCAAAACACTGCCTATTTGTAAATCAACACATCAATTCCGTAAGGGACTGCAATCGAGTGGCTTTGCCACTCACGAAAGGAGTCAGCTTGGCGGACGCATGTACATTTTGCATACAGACTACAAGCTTGATGTGCACGCATTTTTAATTGTTTGCCCTTTCTTTTGGAAAGGCACTGCCAGAGACAGATTATGAATGGTGATATAAAGCGTGGGGAAAAAAATTGGCCGCGATCTGGCTCTTGAGAAACCCTGCCGGAAACCGAGGATTCTGAATTAAAGGCGTCTGGCTTTGTGGAAAATGCAATGCCTTTCTCTTGACACAGATGTGTTCTCTACATGTATGTACCTGTGTACTGGTATGTGTTTCCTGAACAGGGTGTTGTGGAATCGGAACGTGAGGCGTTTGAGCTGCTGCCCGATGACGAGCGTCAGTGTCGTCATTGCCAGGCTTTGTGCTTCCTCTCTGCAATCACATGTCCATGTTGTCCAGGTGAGCGGTGATACGCATACTGTAAAACGTATCGTTTTAGCAATTTTTAGGTGTATTAAAATGTCGGTGCCAGGGACCTGACAGGTTTCAGGTGTATTAAATGTAGAATTACAGTGACCAGCTTTCCCTTCACATACATGATACAGTGCATACTCTGGTGCTTTTTAGGTGTAATCTCAATTTAGGTGCCAGGTTTCTCTACCGAAATCACCGAAATTAAACACACCGAAAATAACATGTTTTGCAGTATCTCGCTCTTCGGGACTTGGCACGGCTGTGCAGTGACTGGATGCCTTGGTTCAGCCTCTCTCTTTGTTTCTAGTGGTCTGATGGCTGTCACCGCTAGGCTGTTGTGTGTGTGTGTGTTTTGTTCAGTGTCATGTGTGCACCTTTCCGTGTTTTCATCACTTGTCAGTGACAAGTGCATATACCCTTTTGGAAGTGTGGTGTGATGTCTTCAATGATGATGCCATAGGCATAGTGTTAGGGATAGAGTGCTATCTATGTCAGCCAGTCAGTTGCAGAATATAAACTTAGGAGGCGCTGTGTTAGCTGAAGTAAAGGGTAGGGGGCAGAGGTGATAAGGACCAGGATGCATCACGTGGCCGTGTGCTGTGCCGCTTCAGCTGTAGGGTAGGATGCTCGCGTGTACGATATAGTGCCTGTCATCTTATTCCACGCTACCTTGCTGCTATTCGTGTCACCTGCTCTCAGCACTACCCATCACATCCACACACATTACACAGTGAGCGTTAAAGCAGTTTTGAGTTATCACGAGAGATGACAGTACTGTTTGGTGATGCTCTTGTTCAATCCAGTCATTTGTCCCTTGTGCAATCTGATGAGCACATCCCTTTCTTGTGCTGTTCTTCTGTGTGTGTGTGTGTGTGATTGCTGCAGGCAAGCTGGTGTGTCTCGACCATGCAGATAAGCTGTGTGCGTGCCCTGTCACTAAGAATTGTCTGCGGTAAGAATGTCTTGCACGTGTGTAGTGTTGGTTGTTCTGTGCAGCATCCCTCCACGCACACATGTTCAACACAGATGTACACAATGTAGTGTGTTAGGCTGGTGGAATTATGTACACAATGTAATGTGTTAGGCTGGTGGAATTATGTACACAATGTAGTGTGTTAGGCTGGTGGAATTATGCATCTACAGCTACACAGTATGTGACCTGTTTAGTTATAATAGTTGGTGCCAGCCCTTGCTATAATGCTGGCCTCTAACTGTTGTTGTTGCTGCTGCTGGTGATGCTACTGCTGTTGTCTTCCATTGTCCTACAGGTTCCGTTATACTCTCTCAGAACTCCCGGCGATGCTCCTTGAGGTAGAGAACCGAGCACAGGGCTTTACAACATGGGAATATCGCGTTCGCACCGCCTTGAAATCCGATGGTGACAATCGACCAAGTATGTGCGATGGGAATACAATCATGTGCCTGTCGGACCATCAATGTTTATCTATGGTGTTTACGCGTGTGATGCTGGCGTAATTCACTTCTATGTGCCCTTATGTGCTCTACCAGCAAAGTCAACTTTGGTGTTTACTTGAGGTGACTTGTTCAAGATCTCTTTGCATGATAGTGATCGGTGGGTAATATGTATGGCATTGAGTTTGTGCTGAGCTTTACTTGTGTATTCTAACCTGTGCACTGTCCCCCCGTGCAGCTATGCATGACTTGAAAGCACTGATCCGGGAAGCCAGCGAGAGAGGATTTTCGTCCGATCTTGTACCGACCATGGAGGATGCTATCGCTGAAGCCGAGCGCTGTACACTGGTGGCTGCACAGCTCGTCAGTGTTCGACCTCGTACCAGGTACTGTGTATGTGTATGTGTCTGTCTGTCTGCCTGCCTGCGGGTGTGTGTGGGTGAGTGTCAGTGTGCGTGGGTTCCTGTGAATGTTTCAATGCCTCTGCCTGTGAACAGTGTATAATTATGTTGTTGCTCGGTGTAGTCTGCTACCTGGGGTTGCGCTCCTCTTGGTTTGGTTATCACGTGAACATGACATGTGTAGCTTCTAACATTGTTGTAGCTGCA